ATTGAGGTGGCTCCCAAGAGGGAAATGACTTGATTGAGGTCTCTTGGCTAGTTAGGGAGTGATAGAGTAGGATTTGATCCTGAGGTTGACTTGAATGTCCATGCTCTTTTTTTGAAGGGATAGATGAGAGTGACAGGCATTCTCAGGAATGATGTGACCTACTTTAGTCAGCCCTTATTCAATGAGGCCTAAAGGGTGGATAGGGAGCAGGAGGAAGGCATCTAAAGAAATCTAGGATCCCTGGCTGGAAGGTTTGGGCTGAGCATAGCTTTTTTTTTTTTTTTTTTTTTTTTTTTTTTTGAGACGGAGTCTTGCTCTGTCGCCCAGGCTGCAGTGCAATGATGTGATTTCGGCTCACTGCAGCCTCTGCCTCCCAGGTTCAAGCAATTTTCCTGCCTCAGCCTCCAAAGTAGCTGGGATTACAGGCATCTGCCACCACACCCGGCTAATTTTTGTATTTTTAGTAGAGGCAGGGTTTCACCATGTTGGCCATGCTGGTCTCGAACTCCTGACCTCATTCTTGATCCACCCACTGCGGCCTCCCAAAGTGCTGGAATTACAGGGGTGAGCCACCACGTCTAGCCTAAGCATAGTTTTTAAAATGACGTGGTCTAGGCCAGGCGTGGTCGCTCACGCCTGTAATCCCAGCACTTTGGGAAGCCGAGGCAGGTGGATCACAAGGCCAGGAGTTCCAGACCAGCCTGACCATCATGGTGAAACCCTATCTCTACTAAAAATACAAAAATTAGCTGAGCGTGGTGACGCACACCTGTAATCCCAGCTACTCGGGAGACTGAGGCAGGAGAATTGCTTGAACCTGGGAGGCAGGGGTTGCAGTGAGCCAAGATCACGCCACTGCACTCCAGCCTGGGCGACAGAGCAAGACCCCATCTCCAAAAAAAAAAAAAAGACATGGTCTAGCTGGGCGTGGTGGTACATACCTGTAATCCCAGCTACTCGGGAGACTGAGGCAGGAGAATTGCTTGAACCCAAGAGGCAGAGGTTGCAGTGAGCTGAGATCACGCCATTGCACTCGAGCCTGGGCGACAAGAGCAAAACTCTGTCTCAAAAAATAATTAATTAATTTAAAATGACATGGTCAAAAGCTGGAAGGGAGGATGTATAACTAAGGGAAAATATGAAAGAATAGTGAATCTGTAGTATTAATGTTTTAGAAGAGAAGCATTTAGATACACCTTTCAGAGCTATTAACTCTCCCTCGAAGCACACTTTTGGAGACTGGATTACTTAGAGCCGCAGACATGCGCAAGGTGCTTCTTGAAGGATTTATTTTAGATTGAGGAGATTTAAAAGGCTGACACACATAGATTTTTGTTGATCAGGTCATATAAAAGCTGTAATTCAGTAAAACGTTCCCATTTTTTTGTTTGAAAATTTTCAGGAAAGAACGTTGTAAAGAATTAATTAGTCTTTCATGCAGTGATCACCCCAAGGCTCCTGCATTTCAGAGGATAATGTGTTGTTGACAAGAAAGAGATGGTTTCTACTGAGGAATTTGTTTCACCAACAAAGGGGCTTTTATGCAATTTTTTTGTTTGTGAGTTCTGGAATTAATCTTACGTTACCACTACGATCTGGGTAAACCTAGTCAAAGAAATGATTTCTAGACAGAAAAAAGAAATGCAAAACTCATGGAATGGATTCTGAAGGACAAGCTCAGTTCTTAAAAAGTGTTACCCCTTATGAGTTAGAATCAAAGAAAAATGAGTGTTAGATATATCTTCCTCATTCCATTGATGATGACTAAGGCCTGAATATGATAAGTGATTTGCCCAAGGTGACTTAGGTAATTACTTGAAGTGCTAACTCTTTGGCCTGTGCTTATTCTAGTTCAACAGAGTCCCATCATATGTACCTTGAATTTATGTAAATTTCAATTATTGCATATGGCAATAAAGGAGAAAAATACTGGAAAATTTTATTTTCATATCCTTTATCACATATATAAAATATTAATATTTCCATATTATCTATATAATATATATAAAACATTCACATATCCATATTATTGTATAGAGTTGTATACATACAACCATATACAGTCAACCTTCCATATGCACGGGGTTCTGCATTGTGGATTCAACCAATCACAGATTGAAAATATTTGGAAAAAAAACAATATAACAATACAATATAAATTTTAAAATGTGGCATAACAGCTATTTACATAGCACTTACATTGTATTAGGTATTATAAGCAATCTAGAGATGACTTATAGTACAGATACTCTTTGACTTATGATGGGTTTATCTGGACATAATTCCCTCATGTCAAGGAGCTTCTTGAATGCTTGTTGCTTTTGCACCATTGTGAAGTTGAAAATTGTAAGTCAGGGACCATTTGTAGACAGGAGGATGGGTGTGGGTTATATGCAAATACTATGCCATTTTATACAAGGGACTTGAGCATCCACAGATTTTAGTATCCTGGATGTAGGAGGTGGTCCCGGGACCAATCCACCTTGGATACTGAGGGGCAACTATATATGTTAAGGGTAACAAGAGGTTTCCCAGGGGTAATTTTGGCTATAAATGATTTGCATCCCATGTAGAAATTGAAAGCTTAATCCCCTCCTAACAAAGCACAACTCCTTGATTTCCCTCTTTCCTCCATTATTATATTACAGGTCAAATTATGTCCCCAAACATGACATCATGGTATAAGAGCCAGATTTGACTCAGTCGAAAATGCAAGTGTTATTTTTGTCATAAACACCAGCGAAGTAAAGGGGTTCCATTATATTTATTCATAGAGTACGGTTGTGCTGATGTCGGCATTCAGTGGGGAGAAAGGAGCGCCCTGGGCTGACTCTTCTTTGGGTGGTTTTAACTGTCACTTCAATCATCAAAAACTCTGCAGGTGTCTGATGTGGGCCTGGTACAGGGTTTCTCTTTTCTCTAGTTCTGACCAGGTGCTTATTCCAGGGTAGCTCTCCTGCCAGTTCTGCTCTTTTCACCTCACTGTCTTTTTCCTCACTTATTTCTAGCTCCTCTTCCATACCATACTTATCAGTGGCTGTACAATCATGTTTAGCAGTTCCTGGTCCTGTTCTCCAGACCTGATTTGGACCCACTGGAATAACTGCGCAACTTCACATGCCTGCTTTTTCATGCACTCAGAAGAAACATGTGGAAAACAGAGACTGTTAGAATCAGTCTGTTAGAATCTGAGATACTTTACAGGTCAACTGGTCCAAATGCCTGATTCTAAAGATCTCAAAAGTGAGATCCAGGGAGGATTTTCAAGGTTGTATAGCTTTAATGGCAGAGAGAGTTTTTCTCACTACTCTTTAAGCTGTTATAGAAGTTTCAATAAAGAAGCATTACAGGCCAGGTACAGTGGCTCATGCCTGTAATCCCAGTACTTTGGGAGGCCAAGGTGGGTGGATCACCTGAGGTCAGGAGTTCGAGACCAACCTGGCCAACATGGTAAAACCCTGTCTCTACCAAAAATACCAAAAATTAGCCAGGTGTTGTGGCAGGCCCTTGCAATCTCAGCTACTCAGGAGGCTGAGGCAGGAGAACCGCTTGAACCCAGGAGGTGGAGGTTGCAGTGAGCCGAGATCATGCCACTGCACTCCAGCCTAGGCGACAGAGCAAGACTCCATCACAGAAAAAAAAAAAAAGAAAAGAAACATTACAGATAGATGAAAGCCACAAAGAGGGAGCCTCCAATCTTCATGAAAAATATTATTTTGTTTTATTCTGAGACGGTGTCTTGCTCTGTTGCCCAGGCTGCAGTGCAGTGGCATGAACATGGCTCGCTGCAGCCTCAACCTCCTGGGCTCAGGAATCCTCTCACCTCAGCCTCCCAAGTAGTTGGGAACACATTCGTGCACCACCATACCTGGCTAATTTTTATTTTTTAATTTTTTGTAGAGATGGGGTTTTGCCATGTTTACCCAGGCTGGTCTTGAACTCCTGGACCCAAGCACCCTTCCTGACTCAGCCTCCCAAAGTGCTGGGATTACAGGCAAGAGCCACTGTGCCCGGCAGAAAAATGATTTTAAAAATTTGGATCTTTAGTCCTGGACATCATGTAACCTGCATTTGCCTCTCCTGCACCCCAAAGGAAATGTTATACAACACTTGTGGATTTAGGAGAACACGTTGTGGAAAACAGTTGCTAAATGTATTGCTGAAACTGAGACTGTACTTACCATGGAGGGGGAAAGGTGAAGGAGATGCTTTAGGAGACACCCTCAGATGAACAGGTTTCCACATTTGTGTTGGGAAACAGCAAGGGCTTCCTCAGGCTATGTGCTCAACAGGACAAAAACCTGGCCCAGAGCCACAGCAGGAGACCTACCTTATGTCTTTGAACATGTTAAGACACACCTAATGTGTGGGCATTGTGGGGAGCTAATTTCTCCCCTGAATGTGACAATGAAGTTCTCTTAAGAGAAAAGAACCTTGTAGATTCAACAACTGTCAAACAATTGTGATGGAATTTTTAAAGCCAAAAAAAAAAAAAAAGGATAAGGGCTGATTCTTGGTTATTGTTATTGCTGTATTGGATATTCATGGAGGAGGTGAATATGAAACAATGTTCTTTTTATTTTTTTTGAGACGGGGTCTCCATCTGTCACCCAGCCTGGAGTGCAGTGGAGTGATCATGGCTCACTACAGCCTCAACCTCCCAGGCTTAAGTGATCCTCCCATCTCAGCCTCCCTAGTAGCTGAGACTACAGGCATGCACCACCATGCCCGGCTAATTTTTGTATTTTTTGTAGAGACGAGGTCTCACCATGTTGCCCAGGCTGGGCTTGAACTCCTGGCCTCAAGCAGTCCTCCCACCTCAGCCACCGAAAGTGCTGGGATCACAGGCGTGAGCCACTGCGCCAGGCCTGAAACAATTTTCAAGGAAGAATGAGAAGTAGTCTTTGGGATACCTTGGGTTAATATTTCTGACAAGTCGGAATCTAGAAAGATATAATCTCACTTGTAAGTTACAGCAAAATCTGGTTTGTTGTTCCAAGATTATTGATATTCTGTGGAGTGATCCCAGAGGCAAAAACGGCTGTTTTCCAAATACGGGCCGAGGAGGGGGCTGCTATTTTGGACCAGATGTTACTTCCAAGATTCTTAATAAATACCAGTTGAAGATGCTCATCAGGTCTCATGAATGTAAGCCCGAAGGGTATGAAATCTGTCATGATGGGAAGGTAAGCTAAAATTGTTAGTGACATTCCCATTAACATCCTTCCCCTAAGCACAGTCTTTTCTTCACAGAGTATGTCTGGCCTAGAAGCCCATGAGAAGATATCTTTTCTAGTACCAAACGGAAACCAGAGAAGGCGGGCTATATCTAGGTTGTTTGAAAGATCCTCACTGTCCCTTGTCCTAAAAGATATTTGGTTTATTTCCCTGATCTTCCCTAATCCCAGAAACAGAAATTCTTTTTTTTTTTTTTTTCTTTTTTTGAGATGGAGTCTTGCTCTGTCGCCTAGGTTGGAGTACAGTGGCGTGATCTCAGCTCACTGCAACCTCCGCCTCCCGGGTTCAAGTGATTCTCGTGCCTCAGCCACTCAAGTAGCTGGGATTACAGGTGTGCGCCACTACACCCAGCTAATTTTTGTATTTTTAGTAGAGACAGGGTTTCACCATGTTAGCCAGGCTGGTCTCGAACTCCTGACCTCAGGTGATCCACCCGCCTCGGCTTCCCAAAGTGCTGGGATTACAGTCGTGAGCCACCGTACCCGGCCTCAGAAACAGAAATTCTGATACATGGCACTAAGTAGACACACAGAAAGGCTTGGTTCTTTACTACTTGTAAGGCAACTGTCCCACACAGTGGGGTTGAGAATGTCCTTTTCCTCACAGAGTGCATAAAAGGCAACAGTGAATCCAGTTTGCTCTTGCACTTTTTACCTGTTCCTCGTGCAGGGCCCAAAACACAAACCACACTTCCCTTCAGCTCCCTCAGTAGGCAACCTCCAGCAAGTTGCTCACTGTAGTCAGTTTAGCTACAGCCACTAAAATGGAGTGTGTTGTGTTCCTTCAGTGGTGTCTGATCAAAGGCTAAAGGAGGTGAGGACTGAGGAGCTGGTTTCTTGTCCCAAGTTGTCCTGGGATGCACCTTTTTCTTTCTTTTTTTTTCTTTTTTTGAGACAGAGTCTCGTTCTGTTGTCCAGGCTGGAGTGCAGTGGCGTGATCTCGGCTCACTGCAACCTCTGCCTCCTGGGTTCAAGCGATTCTCTTGCCTCATGCTCCCGAGAAGATGGAATTACAGGCGGCCGCCACTATGTCCAGCTATTTTTTGAATTTTTAGTAGAGACAAGGTTTCATGTTGGCCAGGCTTGTCTCAAACTCCTGACCTCAGGTGATTCACCTGCCTCAGCCTCCCAAAGTGCTGGGATTATAGGCATGAGCCACCGCACCTGGCCTGGAATGCACCTTTTTCTATGGTGAACAGCAATAAATAAAAATGGATACCAAGTTGTATGGCATTTCCCTCTGTGTCAGCACTTTGTTTTTCTGACCTCTATTAATTCATTTTCAGCTCATACTAACATTGCAAGATGAGTAAGGCAAGTATTGTTTAGGGTTTCTTTGTAATAAGAAAATAGATAGAAAAATAGATAGAAAACAGCAGTGGCTTGTCTAAAGTGACATGCTCATCAGGACAGAAGAGAGCCTAAGCCAGGTTCCCTGTCACCCACAAATATGGTCCTCCCGGCCGGGTGCAGTGGCTCACACCTGTAATCCCAGCACTTTGGGAGGCCAAGGCAGGTGGACATGAGGTCAAGAGATAGTGACCATCCTGGCCAACATGGTGAAACCCTGTCTCCACTAAAAATACAAAAATTAGCTGGGCGTGGTGGCACACACCTGTAGTCCCAGCTACTCGGGAGGCTGAGGCAGGAGAATTGCTTGAACCCAGGAGGTGGAGGTTGCAGTGAGCTGAGATCGTGCCACTGCATTCCAGCATGGTGAGAGAACGAGACTCCATCTCAAAAAAAAAAAAAAAAAGTATCCTCCCATATTCTACCACAGCCCAAGGCTAGTTCCTTCACAAGATAATGGTCGTGGTCCCTTCTTCTAGCCACTGCATCTCTGCCCTTAAAGCACTGACTTTCTCGGGCCCTGAACCTTCTAAATCACTCTGCTCCAGGCAGAAGAAAAAAACTGAAATACCAGACAAATTTCATTCTGAATGCTCAACTATTACAAGACAAGAAAATAGGGGATTTATCTCCTTGGAAAAAGAATTCGCAAAATCAGACATTAAAGAGGATTCTGAGATTTGGCACTAAAATTGTACCCAGGATTGCAGGGCCATGCGCTGAGGATGTTGGCTGAGTGGCCAGGAGTTAGTGCTCCTGGGGACACTGGGGAGTAGCCTTGTTTTCCTCCGATGCAATAATAGAAATCACATAGGACTTGGATGATTTGCAGGGTTTATGAACTTTCTTTGATTCTTGCTTTTTAACAATTGAGCTATTTCTGACCTTATTGAATGACTTTTTGAGAACTAATTTTACGTGAAGCTGACCCTCTTTTTCTTTAACCAGGTTGTGACTATATTTTCTGCTTCTAATTATTATGAAGAAGGCAGCAATCGAGGAGCTTACATCAAACTATGTTCTGGTACAGCTCCTCGATTTTTCCAGTACCAAGTAACTAAAGCAACGTGCTTTCAGCCTCTTCGCCAAAGGTGTGTATACTATACGGAGAACACAGAGCACTGGTCTCATGGACCCATTAGAACCAGTCCCACGTGACTCAGAGCAGCCACGTGAATGAAGACAGTCATTTATAGCTTACTCATTAGTATCAACAAAATGGAAATAGTTCCAGACACCAAGTGGTGAATGCACCCATAATTGAAACCAAAAGGAGCAATTCTAAATTTGTACATCTTTCTAGATGGATAAAGCAGTCAGTCCTCAGAAACATAACTGAATATAAAGAAAAGAAGATTCCCCACACCCACTCAGTCCCCTAACCTACAGCCTTCTCTGACCCCCAAACAGCTCTATCTGCTCTTGCCCCTTTCTCTTCTCTATCCAGAAGTGTATGTGACAAATAGTTGAGTGTCTCTTTCCATGTGATGGCATTCATAGCTTATACTCCTTTTCTCCCTTTCACATTATCTTTTTACGTTTTTTTTGAGATGGAGTCTCACTCTGTGGCCCAGGCTGGAGTGCAGTGGCTCGATCTCAGCTCCCTGCAACCTCTGCCTCCCAGGTTCAAGCAGTTCTCCTGCCTCATCCTCCCAAGTAGCTGGGATTACAAGGGCCCGCCACCACACCTGGCTAATATTTTGTATTTTTGGTAGAGACAGGGTTTCACCATGTTGGCCAGGCTGGTCTTGAACTCCTGACCTCATGTGATCCACTCACCTTGGCCCCCCAAAATACTGGAATTACAAACGTGAGCCACTGTGGCCAGTCTAAGATTTTTTACATTATAGAACTAACATGTTTGTTGTTAACAACAGAAAAAAAAAAAGCAAAGAAGAATAAAGAAAATGTTAACAATCTTCTCTCCCTTCTCAATTATCCTTTTCCCCAGAGGTAACTAAAACTAGCAGCTTAGAATGGCCCCTTCCACCCTCTTCTTGCTCTTACAAAAATAGACAAGCATTTATTCAGTCATAGAACTTAAAAAAACCTTTGAGTACCTACCATGTGTCAGATACCGTTCTAGGCATAGATAATACAAGATAGGCCGAAGTCCCCTCATCAAACACATATCTTAGTATGAAGAGAAAGATGATAAACAATGTACATACTTTTTTTTTTGTAAGAAGTAGTCTTGCTCTGTCGCCCAGGCTGGAGTGCAGCAGCACAATCTTGGCTCACTGCAACCTCCACCTCCTGGGTTCAAGTGATTCTCCTGCCTCAGCCTCCCGAGTAGCTGGGACTACGGGCGTGCCCCACCACACTGGGCTAATTTTTGTATTTTTAGTAGAGACGGAGTTTCACCTTATTGGCCAAGCTGGTATTGAACTCATGACCTCAGGTGATTTGCCTGCCTTGGCCTCCCAAAGTGCTGAGATTACAGGTGTGAGCCACTGTGCCCAGCCTGTACATACATTTTTTTCTTTTTTTTTTTTTGAGACGGAGTCTTGCTCTGTTGCCAGACTGGAGTGCAGTGGCGTGATCTCGGCTCACTGCAACCTCTGCCTCTCGGGTTCAAGCAATTCTCCTGCCTCAGTCTCTACAGGTGTGCGCCATCACACCCAGCTAATTTTTGTTTTTTTAGTAGAGATGAGGTTTCACCATGTTGGCCAGGATGGTCTTGATATCTTGACCTTGTGATCTGCCCGCCTCAGCCTCCCAAACTGCTGGGATTACAGTATGAGCCACCACGCCCAGCCATATATATATATATATATATATATATATATGAAGTTAGAATCACACTGCACACTGTATTCTGCAACTGAATTTTTCCCCTAAAAATTATATCATGAACATCACCTCAAGTTAGTAAAGATAGACCTAACTCATTCTTTTTAGTACATACATATTATTCTGTAGTATACATGTACCATAACAGTTATGAAGCAACTAAATCTTATCCAACTGATAGACATCCAGATTGGTTCCAGGATTCTGCATTTAAAAACAATGCTATAACTAGCATTCCTATACGTAAGGAACTCATACGACTCAACAGCCCAAAAAAAACAAAAAACAAAAAACAAAAAAAACAAAACAAGTAATCCAATTTAAAAAATAGGCAAAGGACCTGAATAGACATTTTCCCAAAGACATACAAATGGCCAACAAGTTCACGAAAAGATGCTCAAAGTCACTAATTATCAGGGAAATGCAAAGCAAAACCACAATGAGATAGATACCATCTCACACCAGTTAGAATGGCTGTTATCAAAAAGACAAAACATAAGTGTTGACCAGGGTGTGGAGAAAAGGGAACGCTTGTACTCTGTTGATAGGAATATGGATTAGTACAGCCATTATAGAAAATGCTATAGAGGTTCCTCAAAACATTAAAAATAGAAGTACCATATGATCCAGCAATCCCACTACTAGGTATATATCCAAAGGAAATGAAATCAGTATCTTGAAGAGATATTTGCATTCCCATGTTCAGTGTGGCATTATTCACAATAGTCAAGATATGGTAACAACCCAAGTGTCTGTCAAGACAGAAAAAGAAAATGTGACTGATATACATGTGTGGATTTATATATTTTATATATATATTTTATATATATATAAATATATATAATCCCTGCATGCTCAAGTCCCTTATATAAAATAGCATCGTATTTGCATAAAACCTATGCACATCCTTCCATATACTTTAAATCATCTCTAAATTACTTATAATACCGAATGCAATGTAAATACTATGTCAATAGTTGTTATACTATATTGTGTAGGGAATAATGACAAGAAAAAGTCTGTACATGTTAAGTACAGGCACAACCATCTGTTTAAAAAAAAATAAATTCGGCCAAGCGCAGTGACTCACGCTTGTAGTCCTAGCACTTTGGGAGGCTGAGGCAGGAGGATCATTTGAGCCCAGGAGTTCGAGACTAGCTGGGCAACATGGTGAAACCCCTTCTCTACATAAAATACAAAAATTAGCTGGACGTGATGGTGCACACCTGTAATCCCAGCTACTCTGGAGGCTGAGGCAGGAGAATCACTTGAGCATGGGAGGTCAAGGCTGCAGTGGGACAAGATCGCACCACTGCACTCCAGGTTAGGCAATAAAATGAGACCCTGTCTCAAAAAAAAAAAAAAAAAAAAAATTCCACTGAAGGGAAACCCATGCATACAGAGGGCTGATTGTACATGCACAATGGAAAATTATTCCAACATAAAAAAGAAATCCTGACTTTTTTTTTTTTTTTTTTTTTTTGAGACGGAGTCTCACTCTGTCGCCCAGGCTGGAGTGCAGTGGCCGGATCTCAGCTCACTGCAAGCTCTGACTCCCAGGTTTACGCCATTCTCCTGTCTCAGCCTCCCGAGTAGCTGGGACTACAGGCGCCCGCCACCTCGCCCGGCTAGTTTTTTGTATTTTTTAGTAGAGACGGGGTTTCACCGTATTAGCCAGGATGGTCTCGATCTCCTGACCTCGTGATCTGCCCGTCTCGGCCTCCCAAAGTGCTGGGATTACAGGCTTGAGCCACCGCGCCCGGCGAAATCCTGACATTTATGACAACACGGATGAACCTGGAGGGCATTTTGCTAAGTGAAATAAGTCAGACAAATACTGTATGACATCACTTATATGTGGAATCTAAAAAAATCGAACTCATAGAAACAGAGTAGTATGGTGGTTGCCAGGGGCTGAGAGGTAGAGGCTATCTGGAGATACATGTATATCAAATCATCACACTGTATACCTTAAATATATATGATTTTATTTGCCAGTTATAAATATAACTATGGTTTTATGTCAGTAAAGCTGGAAAAATCCTCTGTGTGTGTGTGTGCGCATGCGCGTGTGTGTGTGGACATATATCCATAAGTTTTAGTGAATTTTTTAATGTAAGATTTTACAGTGTGGAATTTATGGAATTTATATGTTTAAAATTTTAATAGCTACTTCAAAAGGGTTATAACATTGGACAATCTGAAAAACAACATACCATGTTTATAATTTCATTATAATTTTTGGATTTTTACCTTTGTTTAGAAAATTTCTCTTTCTCTGTCTCTGTCTCTCTGTACACACACACACAAATTCTCAAATTTAACAGCTACATTGAGATGTAATTTACGTACCACAAAGTTTACCCATTTACAATTCAGTGACAGTACATTTACAGAGTTGTGCAACTATCACCATTATCTAACTTTTGAACATTTTTGCCATCCTAAAAAGAAAACTCGTACCCATTGAGCAGTCATTTCCCAGTCACCTCCTCCCATCACAGCCCTAGGCAACCACTAATCTATTTTCTGTCTCTGTGGATTTGCCTATTCTGGGCATTTCATGTAAATGAGATCACACAATATGTGATCTTCTGTGGCTGGCTTCTTTCACTCAGCACAATGTTTTTGAGGTCATTCATGCTGTATTCTATATCCGTACTTCATTCCTTCTTATGGGTGAATAATATTCCATTGTATGGATAGACCACATTTTGTTTATCCATTCATGAGCTGATAGACATTTAGGGTGTTTCCACTTCTTGGTTATTATAAACAATGGTGTTATGAACATTCATGGGCAAGTTTTTGTGTGTACATGTTTCATTTCTCTTGAGTAAATACTTGGTAATGGAATTGCTGGGTTATATGGTAACTCTATGTTTAACATTTTGAGGAACTTGCAAACTTTTTCCCAAGGGGCTTACCAGTTTACCATTTCCACCATCAGTGTGTCAGGATTCCAAGTTGTCTACACCATTGCCAACCCTTGTTATGATCTCTTTTTTTTTTTTTTTTTTGGAGACAGAGTTTCACTCTTGTTGCCCCAGGCTGGAGTGCAGCGGCACAGTCTCGGCTCACTGCAACTTCCACCTCCTGGGTTAAGGTGATTCTCCCACCTCAACCTCCTGAGTAGCTGGGACTACAGGCATGTGCCACCATGCCCAGCTAATTTGTGTATGTTTAGTAGAGACGGGGTTTCACCAGATTGGCTAGGCTGGTCTCGAACTCCAGACCTCAGGTGATTTCCCTACCTCAGCCTCTCAAAGTGCTGGGATTACAGGTGTGAGCCACCGCG